TTTTTTTTTTTTTTTTTTTTTTTTTTTTTTTTTTTTTTTTTTTTTTTTTTTTGTTCATGCTATTGTATTTGAATATTGATGCATTAAATAACTATTCTTTGTACATATAGTGATAGAAATGGTGTTTGAACAATTACATCAGTCTTAAACTTCAACAATTATCATGCTAACCACCTTCATTTTCAGAAATGTTTCTCAATATACTCTGCTAGCTTAATACATTTCTGCGGCTGTATGTAGAAGGCATACTCTATACTTCTAAATAAAAAGGAAATTATATTCTGATTTTTAATCAGTAGTATTGGCAAAGGGAAGCAGCAATGTTACGGCAGCAACTCCAGAGCTTACATGAAAATCATCGGTACTAACGTATCCTATTCTATTCTATGTCGTTACATGTTACTTGATAAACACTAATACCAGAGGAAAATGCAATAAAGTGAAATGCAAAATGAAACTTCTTTCAATTCCTTAATGGCCATAGCGTTAAGTGAATTGAGCCTAAAATCTTCCTCATTAACTCATTACCATGTGCTTAATGAGATATGGGAATAGCATTTATTGACGACCAAGCATGACCCAAATGTATATTTTCTAACATACTTCCACATGCTGCTCAAGTTAAAGCTGATACACAAGCTGAAAGAAAATGAATCTTAGAAAAGTTCAAAACACCACTAATAGATAATAACTATCAGGCAAATGATGGGTGAAGAGCTGACTGGTCTAAGCGTCAAAGATCTGCAGAATCTAGAAAATCAATTGGAGATGAGTCTCCGTGGCATCCGTATGAAGAAGGTATCTAACTATGTCATTTGTTAAATGCATTTGGTGTTATACTGAACTTTTCGCTTCTTTGAGCAGGACAAAATTTTAATGGATGAGATACAAGACCTAAATAGAAAGGTTAAGGAACTACGGCTCTGAAATTTTGTTCTCAATTGTTTTGGTTGCTAAATATCCTTCTTTTTGATACAGGTAAACCTAATTCACCAAGACAATATGGAACTCTATAAGAAGGTAAATCTAATTCATCAAGAAAATCTGGAATTACAGAAAAAGGTACAGATGTAGATAACTGGAACAACTTTAATTATTACCAAAAAGAAACTTAGGATTAAATTGTTAAACCAATAAAACTTTGTGTTGTTTAGTTACCCTCAAAACAAATTTTTGACCATCCTAGGTCTATGGAACAAAAGATGCCAATGGAGCACACATAAGCAGTCTTACAAACGGACTTAGTTTTGGAGAGGATGCAGGCATACCTATCGACCTTCAGCTCAGCCAGCCACAGCCACAAGAACATGCGGCACCAGAAAGAGCTACAAAACTAGGGTAAAATTACGAAAAAAATTCATAAATGTTCTACATGAATACAAATGAACTTTTCCAGGGTCACTATTTCAATCTTGTTCTTTTGATGGTTGCAGCAGACTATAGCTACGCTAGCAAAAAGACACCCTACACCAACCAGGAAGATGTTTCTTATTTTGCATCAAGAAAACGGTGTATGGTTGCTAATTATCTTTCAATCGACGAGATGTGGTAGAGTAGCGGATTATTCCATACCAAAAGAAACCAGCTTTGTCTAGTTTGTGGTGATTAAAACAAGCGTATTTTTGTGAAGAGAAGACTATGCAAAACAAAAAATAATTGGAACCGCACCAGCATGCACACTTCATTTTCCAGAAATCTTAAGGTCTGTTTGCTATCTTCATTATAATCGGCTAGGTTCAAATGTTCATACTTATTTTAAGACTGATGCTTGCGATATAATAAAGGAAAATTCTGGAGAATCGTCCAGAAAAGGAAACAAGTAGATTAAAAAAGAACATTTATCGTACACTAATTCCACCCAACAATTGTATATGATACTCATCATGAAAGGGCATATAATATTTACCTCGAATCTCTCTTGCTCGACTAGAGTAAACTGTCCCAGCAGTCTGTTTAGAAAGATAAATTGCATGACATTAGAGTAAGCAACAATTCAGCAAAGAAATTTAATAGATAAATTATTATTAAAAAAACCCATCTCTACTAAACAGAGTCATTATTAAATCCAAGACAATAATTTAATCAGTACATCGATATTCCCAACAGCATAAATCCAATTTTTAAAGTAAGTAAATTATTAAATATGAAGGGAAGGGCCAAACTCCATAGAAGTTATATATGAGACGTTACAATTGTTGGCAATATAGTGTAACTGGATGAAGGATTATGCTCGCCAGGTTGCTAATATACACCTAAAGTTTGAGACCACCTTACACATAAACAAGAACATTCCCAAATGGATATGATATAAATGGCAGAAAATGATGGAAAAAGAATTACAAATGGTTCACAAACATATTGCATTGCACATCACAGAAACCATCAATATATAAAGTACTTTTGCAGAAAACAGTCTTAATAACAGCTTATAAAGTAAACGAGGCCTCTAGAGAATCAAAAATAATCTAGCTACTAACTTGAATGTATTCCTAGCTAGCTTAGAGCCACTGACCTTCAATAATGTGCACAATGCATAAATAGAATAGGCTTTAGAATGATCTAGTTAAATTATTCCTATTTTCAGTAACAAAAAAAATAAACATTGAAATTCGTGGCATGCATGAACACCTATGATTATTAGATATAAAATGCCTATGGGAGGAGTTACTAACAGATAATGGAATGCAGGTGACAGAAAGAAATTGTTGGTCCTCTGAGAATCGATCCTGGAACCTTCTCTCCAGAAGGAACATTAGAGAAGCTGAAATTGAAAAGTGGGTTAATCACTCCAACTTGCTTTCCCAATTTACCTCCTCACAGAATGCTGATTACTGGCCTTGGAACGTTGAAAAGGATGAGATTTTATTCTTCAAAGTCCCTCTCTCAAACATGGACTTCTTCTTGCACGGGAGGTGATAACATTTATTCTCATATTGGAAAAGGGGCTTACCCTAAGAAGATCAAAAGTTTTATATGGGAGCTCAGCCATTCATGCATCATAACTCAAGATTGCCTACAAAGGAGGCTCCCTTGGCTCTATCTCTCCCACAATTATGTCCTTTTTGTTACAGGGATGCTGAAACGCAGATACACTTGATCAACAATTGCCCCTTGGCTGGCCACTATTGGAGCCTGCTGATTGCATCCTTCGGTTGGTTTACTGCCTTCCCCCACAAAAATCACACTTTCCTTTCCGACATTCTCACAGGACATCCAATAAAAACAGGAAAAAAGATTCATCAGAGCATTATTCTGGAGTATTTGGAAAGAACACAACACTCGAGTCTTCACAGAAAAACAACCAAATTTTGACACAACCATGCAGAATACTACTTGCTTTTCTCTTTTGTGGTGTAAAAAACACAACCCCCTTTTGTAATTACACCCCTTCTTCCCTCATATCACAGTGGAAGAGTTTTTTTTTGTAAATCCTCTTGTTCGGACTCTTTTGTAGTTTATTTCAATCTATCGATGAAATGTTTGTTTCCTATAAAAAAAATATATATTAAAAAAAATAACAAAAAAAAAAAAGGAAAGAAAGAAGACACTGACTTTGAAAAAGAACATTTAAAAGCTAAAAAGGAAGAAACTAGGTAACAACACGATCAGGAATAAAATTACATCAATGAGGATATAAGGCTGAAAACGGCTTTAGCACAAATAATAGTGATTGTAATCAAAACAAGTGGAGCGAACCATCTTGGATGTGGGGTGATGTACATTTTTTTAATACGAAAACCCCAAAGAACCTCCATCGTAAGCTTAATTCAATGATGGTCACCAGACACATGATGGAACACCACAGATAGGGGTGTGGTGCAGTGGTGCTACACCCAACAAAATATTGTTCAATCCAAACCTATAATAAATTGGCGTTTATAACTGTAGTTCAATGTCTGTTTACCATCCTCACTATTATGGTTCTCACATTCTTACAATTCCTGTTCTACATCAGAGAGAATTAGACTAGAACAGCTGCTATCATCCACTTTTGAACAATCTATGTAGGTATCATATACTACACAACGGATTCACAAATTTCAAATTTGATCAATTGTATGCACAAGTGGTCTTTCTTGAAATGTAAAAAACATATCCTTGTTTTCAATCTTTTCTTTAATGATGGCCACGAAACTAAGGTTTAAAACCCTAATTTCATCCTTCTTTTCACTCCACCGTCAGTTTGTACTCCTACAGCAGCAGGCTTACAGTCTTTATTATATTGTATCTTCATTGTATCTTCATACGGAACAATATTTGTTTATCATTTGGTATCGTGGTGTAGTCGGTTATCACGTTAGTCTAACACACTAAAGGTCTCCAGTTCAAGTCTGGGCGATGCCACTGCTATATGACCAACTAATGTCATGTGTAAAGGCAAGCCCTGGGCTAGGCAAACTGGTTCAAACCGATGTATATTAATTTTTAGCTCAATTATAAAAACACTATATAAGTAACTCACTCATAGCTTACAGTCTTAATTCTAATCCCAAAATTCCAACTATCTATCTATCTATATATATATAATGTATTGTTGTCAGGACCCCAAGAAAGCATTCTCCTAGGAACTTTAAAAAAAAGAGAGCAAAAGTAAACAGACGTGTCTGCAGATTCCAACGCTTTTGCCAAAGCAATTAAAAGTAGCTGAGATACTAACCAGAATAAGAGAATAAATAGTGTTCAACTATTGCTTATTCAAGATTGCTACCATGCTTCAGGAGGCGAGTTAACAACTACTAACTCAAATGATTATCTGCAGTTTTCATGGCAAAGAAGACTGCTAGCGTACCAAAATAAAAGTTATGAGTACTAAGTAACAACGAAACTTACAGTACCCTACACACAAAGGCATCGAAGATGATCTTGTGTAACTAAGTCTACTAAAAGCATGCTTTTAATGAATGCGACAAATATAGCATTCAACAGAGCATGAATCTGAACTCATTATTAATTAATAAATATTATCCATAATTAATTTCTTATAAACAAGTCAGTTTCATTTCGTGTGCCTACACTAACGACCAAACAAGTTACCGAGGCGCAAATATAAAAACAGATAACCTTGTCCATGGAATCTCTAATGCCTAAAAAACACAAAAACATAAAGGAAAACTAAAGGTCATCTCCAGAATACTTCGAGAACTTAAATCCCGTACGGTATCAAAAGAACCAAACACTTGAAGCAATGAAACATCCTGCTCTACCATTTTCGACTATCGTATTATGCAAGTGCTATGAAATTCGTGTTTAAAGATTACGTACAAGCACAAAAGCAAGCATCCTTGTCAATATCTCAATATAACAAATGATCTGATGAGTAAAGCGAACAATGACAAAATAAAAACAAATAAACAAAGTCGTATTATATTGTCACACACATACACGCGCGGACACATTGAGCCAGGTGAAATAAATGCCAGACCGCATCAGTCCTTCACTCATAATTTTATGTTCGCTTCAGATTAATCCAAACAGATGCAGTGTGAAACGGAAAGACGAACTGTAAATATCGTGCACTAGATCAAGCACTGCTTCTTAGTAAGAAAAAACGTAGTGAGTACGTAAAAGCGTGCAGACAACTTACGACGAAAAAGTGAATCTACAATAAAGCGATTCCGCATCCTGATACTTCGTTCGGTTCACAAGAATACGCTAGAAACAAGATTACCTGGTAATCCGCAGGCACAGAGGAACAGTTGAGCTCGGACTCTCACTTTTTTCAGTTTTCTTCTCCTCGCGGATTAAAGCTAACTAAACAGATCTGAGAACTATCTTCCGAGGCGATATTCCATGCCGTTGCAGGAAGTGATCGAACTGAGAAGACACAAAAATAGCAGAATACGAACTCAACTGTATTGAAATAAAATCAGAGCGGGAAGTTATATCAAAGACGCGCGTAGTAAGCATGAATGTAAGTTGAGAAGCACGAAAATGGAGATCAATGTAAGTTCAAGAAGAATAAAAATCGGAGGAAGAGTTCTAAGAGAACGAATGAAAACCTGAACAGAAGAAATGGATAGCATGCGATGACTCGCGGGAGGAGACCGAAAACGCTGGTACTGGGCGACGAAGAGGCAGAGTAATTTGATGTTTGATCTCTCTAGACACTCGAAAAGAAAACAAGAAACGAGAATTAGGGAGATATTTATAGTCGCGATGCGACGAAAGAAGACCGGAGGATATAGCACGCTTCGTACTTTGTAGTTCGTTATAATTTATAATATCATAAAATATTTCCAATATTATGCATTTATCGAATTTAAGAATATGACAGCTTCCGCTTCCCAATATTTAATTCTTCGATTTAAATAATATTTTAATGAATTTGACTACTAAAAAATATCAATTTATATTTTAAGTTTTTGGTGTTAACTTATATTTTAAGTTTTTTGTGTTAAAAATCACTCCTCTCGCTCTTATGTTTTGCTTTGGGCTTTCTCAAAATGCTTCATACAGTGGAAATATATTACTATACTTATAAACCTATCATCATTCTCTAAATTAAGCAAATCAGTGTATTAACTTGATTAAACTCTCGTATATTAATTTTTTTTATTATATTTTATTTGGATAAATGCTCATTAATTAAATTTCTAAATTTTCATAATTAAAAAAATTAAAAAGGAATAAATTAATACGGTTAATTCAGATATTTTTCTTTATTTTTTAATCCGAAAAGATAATGAATAATTAAATATCTACCGACAACTCGAACAAGAAAGAAAAAAACTTATAAACAAAAAAGGTAATTTTAAATTAATTTACTTAAAAGAAAAGATAAAAGGACGAACGTGAGTTGGGAATCCTCTTTCCTGCTACGTGTCGGGCGTTGGAAAAGGTTAAATAATTAACCCAATTTAAATATTATTTTCTGCATATGAGAGGATGGAGATATTTTAGGACTCAAGTGCCACTTGTACGAAGATATTTTCTAGGATGGAGATATTTTAGGCTTTACCCAAATCTAGGTTAATAATGCCTAAAGATGCGGTAAAACGAATTGAAAACAACAAAAAGCGGGAAATTCAAGATTAAAAAAGCGGTAAATTCAAGATTAAAAAAGCGGTAATTTCTGATACGAGAAAATGAAACCGTCATCGAAGGCATTAAATTTAACTCCCTCCATTCCCACGATCGAGACTCATTTTTCACAGTATTATATTTAATTTTAATGATATTTTAAGCTCTTATTTACTTTCGAACCATCGGTTTCAGTTCATATGTTTTTTTTTTTTCTTTCTATTATTCTATCCTTGTTGGGATAATGAAGCATTATTTACGAGAGTGAAATTTTTTTAGTAAAATATTTTAAAAATCTTGATAAGAAAAACCAAAATATACAATATCAGCTAGCAATTGATTTGGACGGTCATAATCTTAAATTTTGCACCACAGAGAAGAAAGATCTTATTATTTTTAAAATTTTGCAAATGTATAAATAATTGCATGAGCACACCCCCTAAAATTTATTCAAATTCACATTTCACACGTGTAAACACTCTCTCGTGTAAAATAAATACGAAGTGCATACACATTTTAAAAAAAAATTGCACACCTAAATATAAACAGTCATAAAATATTAAAAAAATTAATGAAAATAAAAGCATTAAATTAAATGCTCTTTAATTGTTTCATTAAACTCTTTTTCTCCATTTCCTTTTCCAAAAATTTAATTATAAATACAGAATTCACAATTCAATCCAACTCATCTATTACCGACGAAATTTCATTGGAGGAACGAAAATCAAATCCAAATGGACAAAACTCCCCCTCCTCCAATCGTTCACGGTAAAATAAAAAAACAATATATAAAAAAAAAATACTTGTTTTTGTTTCAATTTAACGTTAAATTCCTTTATATTTTCACTCCACTAGAGTTTTGAATTTTTTCAGCAATGGAAATAGAGAGACCAGAGAAAAAGAGGAGCAAAGAAACGACGTCGATTTGGAAGTGTTTGAAGTCGAAGATTTCGTCGGGGAAAAAAGAGGGGACGACGTTGAAAAATGAGCATGGGAAATTCAGCTACGACGCAGTAAGCTACGCTCAGAACTTCGACGACGGGTTGGCGAATGCCGATGATGAAGGATCCTCTCGATCCTTTTCTGCGAGATATGCTGTTGCTTCCAAACCCCCACCTAAAAAGAAATAATAGAAGATTATGTATATATATACACACACATATATAGTATATATTAATATAATGTATAGAAGGAATTACTGGGGGTGGGGGTACATTTGTCAAATAAATATAAGCTCTTAAATTATTTCAAGTTTATATAATATGGTTATTATTACATGCAATTTTTTTAAGGAATGAATTAAAGGGTAATTTCATTTTTGTTATTATATTTACATAACATAATTTATTGACCAAACCATACCATCAAGCAAGAAAAACACAATAATTTAGTTGTTTAAATAAGTCTCAAAACTTGAACTGAGTCTATCGTTCATCGATATTGTTTTATTCGGACTTTTCCTCCCCAATTGATATGGGATCTCACAATCCACTCCCTTCGAAGCCCAACGTCATCGCTGACACTCTTTCCTTTTTCTAACCGATCTCCCCAGTCGATATGGGATCTCACAATCCACCCCCTTCGAACTCCAGTGTTTTCGCTGGCACTCGTTCGTTTCTCAAATCGATGTGGGACTCCATTCTCCAACCGATCTCCCTAGCTAATATGGGATCTCACAATCCACTCCCTTCAAAGCCAAATGTCCTTGCTGGCACTCGTTCCTTTCTCAAACTGATGTGGGACCCCAGTATTCTCGCTGGTACTCGTTCCTTTCTCCAATCGATGTGAGACCCCATTCTCCGACCGATCTCCCTAGCCGATATGGGATCTCACAATCCACCCCCTTCAAAACCCAGCGTCCTCGTTGACACTCGTTCATTTCTCCAACAGATGTGGGACCCCACCAAATCCGCCCTCTTCGGGGCCCAGCGTCTGGCTCTAATATCATTTGTAACAGCACAAACCCACTGCTAGTAGATACTGTCCTCTTTAGACTTTTCCTTTCGGCCTTTCCCTTAAGGGTTTTAAAACGCGTCAAGAGGTTTTTAAAAGGTATTTCGTTCTCATCCCCAACCGATGTGGGATCTATGTACTCTCAAAACTATAAATTTAATCTAATTTTTTTAAAAATGGACTACTATAAATATAAATATAAAATTTTTAAATTTTCATTAAACATAAATTTTAAATTTATATATAATAAATTAATTCACTTTTAAAAATTTTAAATTTATAACTAACCTATTATACTCAAAATTAAAATTTTAAAGATTTATTATTATTTTTTTTAAATACATGAACTAAGTACACAAACTCCATGAACTACACGTAGACAAGAGGGGAATGGGAAGCGAAAATTACATTTTTCACATTGGAACGACATGTCGAAATCACTACAAACAAGAGATTTACCGGAGAATTCAAGAAAGCAGTTAAAATACGGGGCAACCGTCAACCACCACGCCTCTAGCGGTGGGGCAACTGGCAAGCAAACAGTGATCAGTGTCAACAGGATTGGAACCCCACCAATTCATATGCACATTTCGAACACCCAATGTAAAGTGAATAAGCACCGCCATGAACGCCACGCCGGCGTCCAACGCCGCCGACAGAATATAGTTATACCGTTGCCACCATCTCTTCCGGTACCGGAACACGAAGTAATTAAAGATCGTGCCGACTAATAGCCAGGAGTTGTAATTAACCGGCGTGGCTGGGGGCATGTAAGCGGTGGCGCCGAAGAGGACGGGGAGGTTGATGAGAGGAATCCAGGTTTGGTTGGGAAAAAATCGGTGGAGGACATAGACGAGAAGGGGGCCGAGGAAGCCGCCGAGGAAAAACCAGTTGAGAGTTGGGTAGTTCCCTTGGGATCCGAATATTCGCTTTGGGCCGACCAAGCCCCATATGACCGACGCGTCGAAAAACACGCGGTCACTCGGGCAAGTCCAGGGGCTGTTCGAGGAAGCGCTCTGATGGCATATGTTGTCCACGGTGGATAAAAGCCACCATGCAACGCTGATGTTCACTGTCCCCGCTATTATTGTGCCAATCAGCTGCGTACACGTGGATGTTAGAATAATCTATAACAAAAAATACTACTATTACTGTGTTGAGGTTTTCTGATCACGAGAGCTTATACTCAAAGTGAATAATATCATATGATTGTGGAGAGTCGTGTTTATCTAACATGGTATCAGAGTCATGTCCTAAACTTAGCTATATCCTCGGCCTAAAAAAAAAATAATAATAAGACAAAGAAAAAGTACCTGAACGAGGAACATGGATCTCGGAGGGATTTTCATGTAATGTCCTAATTTAAAATCACTTAAAAAGCTAACGGCTTGAGCCATGCTTATATATCCATAAGTCTTGAAGCACACATTGGCTATTGGCCTTCCGGGCAATATGATTCCCATCAGATACTCTGTTATTATATTCAGGCCTGGAGTCTGTTCCATAAACACAATTAGTATATTATAATGATGTGTTAATGCTGAAAATTAGGGTTAATTACCTGATTAGTGGTGGCTGTTATAATGCTTATAGGGAGAGTGAAAATGAAGGCCAGGGCGGCTGCAAAAAGAAGGCCCCACCAAGGCAACTGAACCTCCTTCTTCAAGAAAATGCAGAGCGCAAGGGAGGCGGCGATTGCTACAAATAGAAGTATATGAAACCACCACGCTGGAATGTCCCTGTAGCTCCTCATTAGCCTCGTGTGGATGTCTTCCCTTCCTTCTGAAGATGCTCGAAATTTTTGTACAATCTCCCTGGTATTGTAATATAATGTTGTAATGTTAGAAATCACGAACCTCTACGATGGTATGATATTGTTTACTTTACTTCTAAATTCATGATCAATTCCTTAGTTCGCTAACGCGGGACTCGATCCTCCCCTTTAACAAAGTACATCATAGAGCCTACCTTGAGACCTATGTAGCCTTAAAGTATACCATAGAGCTTCCCTTGAGACCTATGTAGCCCTAAAGTACACCATAGAGCCTCCCCTAAGACCTATGTGGTCCTCGAACAGTCTCCCTTTGATTGAAACTCAACTCCTTTCTCGGGAGCTCTCGAACAAAGTACACCATTTATTCAACACTTGAGTCACTTTTGACTACATCTTCGAGGCTAGTAATTTCTTTGTTCCACACTTAAAATTCTATTGTCATAACTAAATTACGAGCATGGCTCTAATACCATATTAGAGTCTCCCCTCGATTACGGCTCGACTCCTTTTCTCTGGAGCCATTAAACAAAGTACACAATTTATTCGACAGACTAGTAATTTCTTTGTTCCACACGTAAAGATTATATTAGCATAATTAAATTAAAAGCATAACTTTGATATCATGTTAGAAATCACAAACCTTCCTATATTGTTTACTTTGAGCATAAACTCTCATGGATTTACTTTTGTTTTTTTCAAAAGGCTTGATACCAACGAATATGTATTCCTTACTTATAAACAAAAGGGTTGACTCCCTCCCTGCCATCTTCAACATGCCACCCATAACTATATATATATAAATTAATGGCTCAAGTTTCTTAATAATTAATAAAAATCTGACCTGCCATGAAACAAGGCAACGTGAGTGAGAGTAGCGACAATGGCAGCAAAACCGAATCCATAAGTGATAGCGAAGAAGGAGCTCAAACTGACCCTTCCAACCTGCCCGTACGCCTGCTGGTTGAGCTCGAACCTGTCGTTGACAATGGAGGTTATATTATACACCTGCCCGTCGGAAGTGAACAAATCGGCGGAGAATATGGGGAACGTCTTGGCGTTGAAGACATTGAAGCCCCAGTAGGCAATAGGCATCACCACGTAGATGAGCGCCACGTAGCCGACAAAGATGTTGACGATGGCGAAGAACGGGCTGATCAGAGGGCTGCCCAAGAACGAAGCCACAGTGGACCAGTCCAGAGAGAAGGCTCCGAACCCGAGACCGGAGAAACCCGACCCGATTTGGTGGGCCGTTACTGAGTGGGGGAAGGCCCAACAGACCCATGATATGCTTTGAAGCGTCTGGAAGATATAGCCTGGGAACATGTACCATGTGAAACTGCCTGCTAGTGCTATGATGAAGAATTTGACACGTGTCATTCGTTTTTCCCCTTCCTCTTCTGCCTCGTGTAGCGTCCTGCCAATGGCTGAATTAGATTTCTTTTATTTTATTATTGATTTCTTTTTTTACTGTTCTTTACTTGATACCGTTATTACCGGAAAAGGGAAATTTGTACGAGAGTGTTTGGCCACCACATATGCGCCGGCTCCACCACGTACTTCCTCAACAACCCCGCCCACCCGTAACCCAATACCTGTAGCACCCGTTCTCAGTTTACCATAATAAATCTCGTTAAAAAATTATTAGGAGTGAGTCCCACATTAACTAATTAAGATGATGATCATGGGTTTATAAGTAAAAAAAATACATTTTCATCACTATGGACACATTTTAAGGAACAAAAAACAAAGTCACTAGAGTTTATACTCAAAGTGGATAATATCATAATACTGTGGATAATCGTGGTTTCTAATGTGGTATCAGAGTCATGTCAATAGAATCTTCAAATGTTGAACAAATAAGTTGTGAGTCTCGAAAGTGTAGTAAAATAGGGACTTTAAATGTCGAACAAATAATATATTTTGTTCAATGATTCCAAATAAAGGAGTCGAGCATCAATTAAGGAGAGACTATTTGAGAACGTCATAGATCTCTCAGAACATACTCTATGGTGTACTTTGTGTTGAGGATTATTATTGGAAGTGAGTCTCACATTGGCTAATTTAGTGGAAGATCGTGGGCTTATAAGTGAAGAATACTATCTCAATTGGTATAAGACCTCTAAAAGCAACGCCATGAGAGCTTATGTTCAAAGTGTCTGCTCTCGTGATTTTGCTTTGAACTTTCCCAAAAGGCTAATGCCTCACACCAATAGAAACAATATTCTTGTCTTTTTTTTTATAAATCTATGATCATTCTCTGAATAGCCGACTTTCATCATCCACAAGAATAATAATTTTGAAATAATCAATTACTTTAATTCATTTAAAATTAATTTAAAAAAAAAAAAAAGGGAGAAAAATCACCTGTGTAGTGATAACTAGAAGCCACGAGGTAAAGAAAGAGATGCTCCTCCAATAAAAGACCTTGATAATGGTCACAATGCCCACCGCATACGCCGACCCGCTGCCAAAAGCGCTTCCAGCATTGGCAAAGATAGAAATAAGCACGTGCTCCTTCATGTTGAACGGACCCGGGTTGAACGAGAACTCTTTCGACTCGAACCCGGGGATTCGGAACTTTCTGGTGGGAAGAACGGAGGCCATGAACCGTCCGATCGGGAGCGACGCTACGAGGACAGTGATCTGAGTGATCACCAGTGGCTCTTTACGGTAACTGAAGAACTGGTTCACAAACGACATGGCGCAACAGGATAACAGTCCTAGTGACCACATCCTAAATGTCCATACCGGTTGCGACACGTCGTCCGTCGTGGACACCGTTAGCCGGACTTCCTCTATAGGAGAGATCTCGTCGTTTTCCAACAGTTGGTCCACCGTGTTTGGCGTCTCTGTTGCCTCCGTCCCCATGGCTCCGACTATGATAACGGAATCTAAAAATCTAGTAAGTATAAGTAGAGGAAATGGTTAGATTTATTATTATTATTTTAATATTATACGAGCGACAACACCAAGCATTAGTATATTTATAAACTTAGTCCTATTTTAAAATTTTTATAACTCTATTTTTCTTATTATAAAATTTATCGCTTGTATTTTATATATCAATATATTGATGTATGGGTGAGGTTAGATATACAAATTATATTATTGATATACCAAATTCGCAATTGGATCATGAACTATTTGAAATTTTTTATTGAGTTATATAAAATTTTTAATTTTCGTTTTAAATTCAAGGCGGGCTTTATTAATATATATATTTATAATATAGTTTCCATGGTTAAAAATGTCAATTTACTTTTTATATATACTCAAACATATATTAAAATATAGATGTCAATGTTGACATGATGATAATTTAATGTCGAATCATTCCTTTTTTACCCTTGGTTTGCCTCGAAAGACCAGTGATATTTGGTATATAATTAGTTATTAAATTATGAAAAGACCATTATTTTAAAAAATATTTTTGATTTTTTTTTATTTGATTTTTTTTTTTTGGAGAATATAGGTGTAGCTCAAGTATAAATATTTTTCTTAAATAAATAGAAAATAATAAATCCTCTCAACGCTACAACATTGTTTGCTTAATAGTTTGACAGCGGCGTTTGATTGAATATATGTGAACTTAGGTATGAAAAATAAATGGTTAATTTGTTTGTCATTTTTTACGTAATTTATTTAAATATAGAAGAAGGCTTATTAACAATGGAGGAAACAAAGCACTCAGGATTATTAGTAGGATGGGACACAATTGCCGGCCAACCTAGGAAATATCGGATGACAAAGAAACTCTAAAATAAATATAAATAATAATGAAAATAATAAAAAGACAAATTTTATTTCCTTTCATTCTATTTACTTTCAAATATCTAAATTATCTTTTTTCGAACAAAATAAACATAATGATGATTGCATAGGAAGTATCCTGGGACGTATTTGTATTGTTCTGGTATTAAAATTCATTACGACCTGTTTTGTTTGTTTTAAGTGCGAGAATTGAGACGTCATCTACGCCTGTGTTGATGTGGAATTGTTTCATTTTCAGACATCGTTTTCGCTGTTTGGTGTGCAGACAAGGATGGCAATGGCAATTAGAATAAATTTGAAAATTTGAGGCACCAATTATTAATGGGTTAAATTTTAGAAAATACACCCCATTCGAAGCCCAGTGTCCTACTATTTCCATTGGTACGAGGCCTTTTGAGGAAGCTCAAAGCAAAGCTATGAGAGCTTATGTTCAAAGTGGACAATATCATACCATTGTGAAGATCCGTGATTCCTAACATGATATCAGAGCCATGCCCTAAACTTAACCATGTTAATAGAATCCTCAAATATCGAATAAAGAATTGTGAGCCTCGAAAGTGTAGTCAAAAGTGTGTTCGAGGGCTCTAGAGAAAGGAGTCGAGCCTCGATTATGGGGAGGCTATTCTAGAGCTCCATAAGCCTCAGAGGAAGCTGATAGTGTACTTTGTTCGAGGGGAGGATTGTTGAGGATTATTGGGAGTAAGTCCCACGTTGGTTAATTTAGTGAAAGATCATGGGTTTATAAACGAGGAATAATATCTCCATTTGTATGAGGCATTTTGAGGAAGCCCAAAGGAAAGCCATGAGAGCTTATGCTCAAAGTAGACAATATCATACCATTGTGGAGGTCCGTGATTCCTAACAGTGACATGCTAACACACGACAAGATTAAGTTTGCTCGAGAATGGACCAACATGAAGTCTTCGACATGCTCGAATCAAAATAGAAAGTTTTGCACATGGAAGGCGTAAATTTTATTAACTGTAAATCAAATTAAGAGTACAGATAGATACCCACAACTACTGAAATATGGCAGAAACATGTACCTTGGATCTGAGGAGACAGCTCCACCATTGCCATATTGCAGGCTTGAACTGACCTAATTCATGCCTAACTGAATTTTGAAGACTTTCATTGGAGTAAAAAAAGCCCCCAAAAATGGAATGAACTAAGAACCTTGCTGACAGGATTGAATTGGTGTTCCCATGAAGAGAAAATGAACGGCGTATCTATTTCAAGCTACAGCGTTACCTGTAGCTCCTTTCTCTGGATGCTTCTCAGTGGCAGCGTCACTGGGAAGATCAAGACCTTGAGGAATCTTGCCAGGGTAATTAGTCCTCGAGGGATCTGATCCCTTCATACTGCAAATAAGGATTCTGATTGGATAAGTACTGATATCAAATCCCATGCTCCAAATAAAACTACTATACCGTGCAAAGAGGTGATGAAGAGAGAGCTGAAAAAGAAGGGTGCATACCTCTTGTCAACAATAACCATGGATCGAAGCTCACAGTTTGTAAAACTGCAAATTGGTGTGAATTTCATGAGTTAAAACTGGAAGCACACTTTTGATTCTCTACGTCTAAGTTAAAAAAGTGTAACAGCCTAATAAGCTCAAACCCACCGCTAGCAAATATGGTTCTCTTTGGGTTTTCCCTTTCGAGTTTCCCTTCGAGATTTTTGAAGTATGTTTGCTTAGGAGAGGTTTCTACACCCTTATAAAGAATGTTTCGTTCTCCTCTCCAACCGATGTACGATCTCACAAAAAGTGTCCTTTCAATTAAGCGGCTCAAGTTGTCTAAGTGTTTACTCTTTTATATTGGTGCAAACTGATGTAGTTCGATACTCAATTTTTTTCTAAAATTGTCATTCTGCTCAATGTAATGCTTACAATTTGCTGATTTCGCTCTTAATAGATGGATGGCAGTCATTTCCAAAACATTTCAGGAGCTCAAATAAGAATGCACTGTGGGTGACAATTGCAATCTCTGTCTCCTTCCGAGTCCACAGCCTGGCCAGGGATAAAAAACCAAAAGGCATAAAACGTCAGGAGCTGTGAGTGACAACACACAGAAGACAGGGCTACAAATGCAGAATCTTTGTTTTCAGAGATAATGCATAGAAAAGGTCGTAATTTTTTTTAGAAAATTCAGCTTATGACAACCTATATATAACTGTAACGAATACATGTCAGCTTTCAAAGGCATTAACGAAGGTCATAAAGTGGCTACCGAATAATATTCTCGAAACTATTTCTTAACTTATTTCTTAACTTACTGGCTGGAAGCAACCTTTCTCCTCCTAAACAAAAGGCAGAGACAACATAGTCGAACTCCTTAACTGCAAGAGACAACCAAGTAATACTGACATGCAAACAAAAGCTAAGAAAACAGGACAAATGAGTTTTGTTTGCATACTTGGTTTCTTAATCTAGTAGAGTAAGATTTGAAAAAATATGTACTCAAACGTCTTGACATTTCGTCGTGATCAGAACTGAAGAACACAGAGATAAATAAAGTGGGAATTTACCAATCCAGAAACTTCAGTCCCCTCTCTACAATCTGGTCATTCGACTCCCTGGTGTCTGGTGTCCATAGGATATCATCATCATGTTCAATCTAGAGTAGATGAAGAAAGGATTTATGAAAACAAATTGGACGAAGTAAAAAGAGGTGAAAAATACGAACAAAAGCAACATAATCCAGCAATATGAACAACAATTTAACTTACCACTGAAAAGTCAATTGCAGGAAAAAGCGACCGATATTCGCTGATGCTACTCCTCTTATCACATGGATTAACACCCTGTACATTGAATATGATTATTCGTCATCAGAAAATCTGAAAAACATGGGGAAAATCTAACCTTTTAGTTGTTTAATTCATTGCAAGCTAAGCCAAGAACTTGACCAGCTTATATCCTCAGGTATAATTAATGCAATCATATTGAGAATTTCTTTCGAAACCAACTACTTGACAATTCACAGAGATTAAAGAGATGTATCGGCTTCAAAGGCTAGAAGTATCGCATGGAAAGACAAGTACATCTATTATTAATAATTCAAGAAAACATTTCAAGTTCATTGTTCAGGTTCTATATATACTCTTCCCTAATAAACATCTCTACGTGAGAATCTGTAGAGCATAAATTTATGCAATCATTCAAGAGGCAAGAGGAGCATTATAATACCAAGTGTTCCGATGCAGAAGAAAAGTTGAAATATCGAAACGAAACCTTGATTTTGAGTTCAGTTTATGAAACGTACCAAACGTTCCCTACAAAGCTCTACTGCTAAAAATGGCGGGCAGTTTAGACTTGATATTGCAGGATGGTTGCTGCCCCCTGCATTTGCAACCATTAATGGAGGAACATTCGTACCATCTTTGTACTCATCTCCACCAAAGGCTCCAACTGCTGTTTGCATAGTCCTACAGTGCAACCATTGATGGTTGAAACGAGAAATGTTTGATTAGTTTGGGGAAAAAATAAACTCCTGCATCTGGACAAAAAGAATCAAGTTATGTTATATTAAAGTTTCTTCCAGAAAGCAAATTATCTTATAGCTCAATCCTCAATTTTTTTTTAATATGCTTCGATATCATCATGATGCAATGCACCCATTTGGTTTACCATTGAAACATCTCAATGGGACAGAAACTCAAGTTACTAAGGCTACAAATTAACGTTTATCATCTTACCCTTGTTATTAAAACGAGGAGGTTAAAGAAGTGAACATTCCTTGCATTTATTGCTACCAAATGGTTAATTTCAGTTCCTAAGTACCTTTTTGTTTGAAATATATTAAAAACCATTAGTTAAATTGATTAATGCAAGGCATGGACAGAACGGATCAAAATTTTGTGCCATAAAGGAAAGGCACGAGCTTGAATTTTGTGTCTTAATTCTAGTCTACGCCTGTCTAGGTCATTCAATTTTCTGAAAAAAAGAAATATGCAGATTTTCAGTCGTACTCTCTTTTAACGCCATTAAAGCATGTTCAGTGGTATTGAGATATTATATCAATTCATAAATGTAATGTTAATTTTCTTATGCATAGTGGTTCAATTCTATATCCTTATTTCACAATTTATGTTGATTCCGTTGAATCTAAAATATAAAAAAAAAAAAAAAAAAAA